TAAGTCAAACAAATTCTATAAACTCCGCGAGTTTAGAAACACTAACACCACTTCAGGTAATTCAGTTCTGGATACTAAAAGAATATAAAAGGCTGTATTTCGGGGGGGGGGGGGGGGGAACACCAAACTTTGAGTGAAAAATGGTATTACAGTACGTCAGTGATACACTGCGTAGAGGACAATCTCATTATAGGAAAGCTTCACGACACCTGTTTTTTAGCACCATTTCATTACATCAAACTTCTTCTTAAGTCACCACGGTTAAGCCAGAGCAATTTTATACTTCAGTTTCCTCTCTATAAAAGTAGCACAGTAGTACTTCTACACTTCAGGTGAATGTTGTGAGGAAATGAGGACGGGAAAAATTGTGAGATTATATCAAAGTCGCCTCCATAAGCAAGTCAGATACACTGTTTATTCAATATAATTTGGGTAAAAATGTATTATCTAAGACATGTAAAGACTGCCATAACAAACAGCATCATCTAATGCAACACACTAAAATGCAGAAGCCCAAACAGAGGTACAGTAACTGAAGTATGAGGACAGAAGCACTGCCTTAAACGGGCAACATTTTGCTTTGTCTTTAATGATTTAGCCATCTTGCTCTGCAGTACACATTAGGTATACTCTGCCAGATTTAAAAATAAATAAATAAATAAAATACTCAAAGAAAAAGTGGTTGACATGATAAATTTAAAACTGGGTCCTTTAAAATTTACCATCTGTGTCAATTTTTCCTTGGTCCCAAATGATCCTTTAATAGCATGGTAACAAAGATTCTTAAAGCTTTTCATATGTTTAAACTAATTGAAATCTTGTGCACAGGTTATATATAAAGAAATTAGGTTGCAATTAAGCATAGTTATTACTAATTCTTAAATCTAATCTTTGTGACTATTATAGACCACAGACAAGGTCAACTCTACAACTCGGGAAACTTTAGCTTTAAAGAAAAAAAAAATGCCACCTGAATTATATGCACGAAACCCACTTTTGTAATGACAGCTCTAATCAGAAAAAATATGTTCATCCATTTAAAAAAACAGCTGTTTCCAAACTGATCAATTAAAAACATATCCCCCCTCAATAAAACATAATGTAGTAAAAACACATTAAGTAAAATTAAAAATACTCTTACAATAATTTAAACAACATTCTGCAAAACATCATGCTTATAAGCAAATCTAAAATTTAAAAGTCATTTCAGCAGTTACTGCAGAGTCCTTACACTAAATGCATAAAAGTCAAATATGTGCTTTAACTTCTGCATATCAGCAGCAACGTTCAGATTACTGTATTCCAGATTTTTAGTCACGATCACTTCCCTTTCACCTGTATGCATTAGAATGAGAAACACTGGTGTCATCTAAAAAGGAAACTCATAAAGGAAGACAACACATCTCTCTCCTAATATGGCTACAGGAATAACTCGAAAGCAGAAAGAAGGAAAAATTATTATCCTCTCTGAAACAAAACACTGAGCCAGTGAACTGCAAGAGTACCTTTGCAGCAGCACAGGGACACAAAGCCATGAGGTGATTGGTTCTTATCGTTAGATGCAAGACAGTAAGTCACAGACAACCATACAACCATCTGTACAATACAATCCCACTCCTCTCTGAGCATCCTGTGCAAAAACCTTGCTCTAAGAGGACTGCTCCACTGGCTCCTCGCTTGTACAAGTTCCGATATCTCACAGGGTGCATCTGCATTAATAATTTAATTCAGACAAGGAGAGCATTTTTGCAACCAATCTTCCCATCATCCTAGTTAATACACTTCCATTTGCTGCCGCATGAAGCAGCCCCGCGCTTCACAAACCTGGTTCACAAGATGTACTCCAGGAGCACCAACAAAGGGCATAGGACCAAAGAGCAGCCAGTCCAACATAACATCCACTTCACTTTGCAAACACCCTGAGTAGACAGCTATCAGGTCTTCACCAGTTATTTCATTCTCTGAATCTGCTCTCACTGAACTGCATTACTTGTTCAGACAGGCCCAGACACTGTGCTTCAAGGTCTCCTTTCACCTGGAAGATGAGACCTGACTGCACCTGAGGTTCACTGAGCTTCTCAGCTTTGCTTCCTCTTGGCTTGTGTTTTCTGTTCTTCAAAGTTCTCACCTTTCTGCCTATCATCTCTGCCTGTTTGATCATTCACATATAACAGCTCATTTTTCCTCAGTATCATCTAGTCTCTCACCACATTGAAACTTCTCCTAAAGATTATTCAAAGCCCAAGCATGATCATTCTTAATTAAATAAACTTAATTCTGCATTTTCTTAACTTTGAGTGCTGGCCAATTTTAAAATAATAATACTTTAATGGGTTCATCTTTTAAGCACACAGAAAAACAGAGCATTGAAGCCAACTGTGTAGCATCACATCAGTTCTTCAGTGTTCGACAACAAAGTTAAAAGCTTATGCACAGCCCTCAGGCCTCTATTACTGACATGGATACAGCACTAGGGGTAATAAAGTAAACATTTTATCAGTGCATTTCACAGCCATTAAGAATTGTATCACTGTGCCTTAACAGACCTTGTTTTCCCCAGCCTTCCTCTATCAGAGCCTCACTCAGAAAGATCGTCATCTCAACCTCCAGTGCTTTCCTCTTATTCCTACATTCAGTTCACTCAACCCGCTCTTGTAACAGCCTATAATCTCAGTCAACTGAATGTAGCTGCTGCCCAGGCTCCTTCTCTCCAGCATGTAGGGTTTACAAGTTTTATTCCAAGTTAAATTCAGCCTGGAGCCTCAGACTGAACACTGCACCACACACATGGTTCAGGGCTGTCCAAAGGACCAATCACTGGGGCTTGAGTTCAGTAGGTGTCTGCCTAAAGAACTGATCCCATGCTAAGCTGCCTCCAGCAGGAACCTCATTTGTACCTACCAGAACCCTGTGAAGTGAGCCAATGAGTATCAACTGGGGATGATCAGAGAATTCACCTTAAAACTGTAATAGCATGATAACTTGCAGAAGTAGGGCAGGTTTACCCAATCCCACAATGCTTCTGTATACAGAGAGAAATTATTTAACCTCAAAAATAAGAAGTGTCTACTGAGCATATTTCAACTTTCAGAATTTAGATTAAGGTTGGATACTTTTTCTTGGCAACAATGAGGAAAAAAAAAAAGTGCTTGACAATTTCGATCCTCTTGCTTCCAAGCAAGGTCAGGGTAGAAGGTGCAATTAGATGAAATGTGTAATCACTGAATTAAATGCTTACAAAGTCTTGGCACTGGAAAACAATACTGCACTTTTCCTTTTGTTTTCAGAAATAAACAAAACAAATGCTTTAATCCACCACCAACAAGTCAGACACAGAAAGATAACGACACTATTAAATCCAATGAGAAAAAAAAAATCCTACTTAAGCCTACACAGTTACCTATACCAAGAAGGAAAAAAAATATACATTCATCCAAAGTTAATTAAAATAAGAAAAACAAATGTCATTAAAATGTCTTTACTAAGCAAACAGTTACTAGCAAAGCTGACATTGAGGAGGCTTTTCTTCAATTAATATATGGAAAAAAATCATGGAGGAAAACCTTTATTTAAGGTTCAGAATTCCAAATATTCAGTAAGACATCGACTTTCATTGTACATTGTCCTATTCTGGACCCCAGTGATTAAAGCATGCATGTCCAGTGCTCACTGAGTTGGTATCAGGGTGTAGCAAGAATGAGCGACATTACATAAAGGAACTGATGTCAAGAAAATTATTCAGATCATCCTAATCATTCTAATACATTTGAAAGAAATTTATATGAAATAATAATAAAAAAAGGAAATCAGACACCCAAACTGAGTAAACAGCAAAAGGATGGGAAGGAAAAATAATATAATATTTTAAATAGTTCCTGTAATGTAAAATTTGATTTGTTATAAGTATATACTGCAAAATAGGAAGCAGGCCTTAAGCTTCACACAGTTTAGTCCGTTTTTATCTATAAAGCCCATAACGCATCCTGAAATACAATTTATGCAGGAATAATAAACTTTTTCTCTCATCCTCTTGGCTTCTTTGACATTTAATGTCAATCTGCAATAATGATCTTTGTCTTCACACACTGCTGTTGAAACAAAGCATTTCTTTGTAAATTAAAGGGTAATTTTGTTCCCACTATTCCAGTATAAATCTCTCTGGGCTAGAATCAAAGAAGCTCATGGCATAAATCACCCTGTAATCCAGATCACCTTCTTTCTGCAAGAGAGATGTTCTTTAGGAAATAATCATGTGCGCAACCACAATCCAAAGCAGAACAGCATGAAGTATGGAAGATTTCATCCAAACTTCATTACATGATACAAATGCCAGATAGTTCTAGAGGTTTCCCTCTCAAAGCTTAACATACAGCAATCTTCCCAAATTTGCAAATCACACGCTGACGCATTATAAAGCAACATCTCAAGAATTCACAGGAATTCAAATGTAACAGAAAATCGTATTTTAGACTGGCTTGTAATAAGGAACACATTCTCTTATTATATGGCATCCGTGTCTGCAAAGTAATTAGGTGCATGCCTAGCTTTATGCAAGCATTACGTTGATTTTATGGGGACTATTTGCATCTGCAATACAAGCTGAGCCACAGACTATAATTTTGGCATCTAGGAAGTTTCACACAAAGTATCACGTCCACAACAGCTTCCAGGCAACCTTCTATTTGCACCTCTATTGCTACCTCTTCCAGCTACCCCAACAGCCAACTTAGTCTGATACACGGGTGACAACAGCAACAACAGCAGGTAATTAATGAGTTCAACTTCCTCTTTACTGTCAGTCACCCCTATAAAGAGAGGTACTGCTAAGGGTTAAGTATTAACCAGACCAAGGCCTTTATGGCCATTAATTCCATATGGTCAGATTAGTTTGCTGCAGAGCTGAAGATAAATCAAGAATGCTCATATGTGTAGCCGTGGAATGCCATTGAGCACAGCATATGGTATGTCAGAAGAACTTTCCATTGAAAGGTAAAACTTACCCCTCTTCTGAACCCAGCCTTCTTTCACAATGGTAACATCGCTCATGATGGCTCCACTCTGAACCCCCAACTCAAAAAAGTACTTCTTTGAGCTCTCAGCTTGTCTGTTTGGCTTCTCTTCTGCAGCTCTTCTCAATTTCTACTGATGAGTCAGCCTGGAAGGAAATATTAGAGAAAGAATTTAAGTCTTTTCTTTCTTTCTCATTTGACAGCCAACAAAAAAGTCTTTGTTGATGTCTTCCACCGACTGAGCTCATATTAAAAATCTGGCTTTTTTTAATTAACCATATAACAGAATCATCATGTTTCTAGTCTTACAGCACATTTTCCATTGATATTGTAATACTTAAGCAGAATGTGTTAAATTTTAAGTCATATGCCACTTCCATAAAATGCACACAACAGAATTCTCTCATACTAATGCATAGGATGCTGATAAATGATATGATGCTGGTACTCCTTCACAGGTCCAACTCAGACCTGTGTCGCTACAGGAGCTTTAACCACTCCGTATTTGTCAGAATCCATACAACGGACAAGTGGTTCCTCTAGTATGGCTACACTGACCATGTCAAAAGTACAAGAAAATTGAAGGTTCTGTAAAGGAACTTAAAACCAAAGCCTTAAGTATTATGGACACAGTTATCCTTGTAACTGCTAAAATCTGCAGTAATCAGTTTACTAGCTATGCAATTAGGTTTTTTAATTGAATTAAATAAAAAAAAAGTAAAGGCTACAGAAATATAATATTCTTCCTAATTCCACTATAACTGCATTATACCCAATATAAATTCTTAATTTATAGAAGTTTCTAAAAGAGAGCATGATGTGTGAGTACATGAAGTAACCACTTCTTACGAGTACAGTTTAACCAAAAAAGCCAATGTTTCATTTATGAAAAAGAGAGTTCATTCTAGCAAGACTTTAAGCCAGGCAGTGACAAGAGTGCTCTTTTCCCTACAAAGCTCAGCTTGCGGCAGACAGATGGGAAGTTAGCCCTGGAACAGGACATGCCACTCTCAGAAGCCACAACCCCCTCTTCTGACCACCTCACTCCCAGAGTATTTAACAGCTGTGAAGAAGAGATAAATAGCACTACAATCAAGTAGGAAGAGAAGCCAGAGGTAGGAGAGGTTTCCTTTTGCCAGCAGACTGCCTTTCCCCTTCATCCTTCAAAATAAAGAGGAGCATTCAAATAATACTTATCTAGAAAAGGGTGGGAAGTGAGGAAAAGGGGTTTCTCTGGTGGTGGAGGAACACCCTTCTATCGCTGTACAGACAGAAGCATGTGTGTATACCCTGCTAGCACAGAACAGAAACCTGCACACCAGTTTAGTACTACTGAATGCACCACATACGTATCCATTTAGAAGACTGACCAACAAATGTAAACATGATAGAAACAAATAGGACTGTGCCGGAAGCAATCTGTGCAATGAATGAATTGAGAAAGAACTGGGGAATAAACTGTTTTAATCCAACCAAGTACAGGGCGAAAATTTAGCCATTACACACATGCACGTTATTTTTACTATCATTTGAAAAAAACATGTATTTGCAGCACACAGCAGCTAGATGGAAGGCTACTTCTGTATGGATACTGTGCTGTGCAAAACAAAACTTGGTATGAGTAGTTTTTTCAAGTGGTATGCAACAAAAATTGCAGTACAACCTGATTTTTCAGAAACCCTGAAGAGTGTCCATTTTACGGCTTTGCCTTCACCGAACTATTTTTTCAAAAAACATGCAATAGTTCAGCTGCATAAAACTAAAAACCACAGTGCTAAATTAATTAATACTGCAAAGTTTAAGTAATATTGAATACTTTGTCCCTGAGACACTGCTACAGCACTGGCAGGTATGACCTATGCAGGTGATGCACAGCATCTTGCACGGATATCATACCCTGGTGGGTCTAAAAGGACACCAGACACCTGTGTATATGCTACTGAACCCTGCCTTAAGACTTATATATTGTTCAAGCTTTCATAAGAGTTAAAATGTTAGATGCAAGGTTTTGGAAGGGTGTGAGTGCTTCATTACTGTTAACTGATCTCACTAGCTGTTTACACTTTGTGCTACTTAAGTCAGAATAGCAGAAGTAACCAGAACATGCATTTCCACATCCTTCACCTTAGCAGTGTGAGAGTTATTTTCTGGGTCATACATTATCAGAACCTTTATCTGCACACTTCAAACTAGAGATAAGCAAGTATCAGATGTGAATGGAAACAGACCCCAGCATATTGACATGACCGAAAGCTGGCTGCAGTCTTGCCATTCTGGATCACCACAGCTCTTAGTACAAACACACAAATCTTTACAAAACTATAGGTGAGGGTCAGACAGCTGTGACTTAAAAGCAGCTGTTCTGTGAAGGAAGTGTAAGCACATCAGTACCCAAATATCAGACTTAAGTTTGATTTCCCTACAAGACTTTCACTGCATTCTTTAAGAAGTGTTCACAGGTGGATTTTTTATTTCCAACTATAAAGACAAAAGCAGCAATGTAACACACAGTACTTGACTTGGACTGGCATATGCTGCAGTATGTTTTGGCCTTTTGGAAAATTTAAGTGCACTAATTTATTCTTATTGGTAGAGACTAAGCTGCAATAAATAAAATTCCATACTTGGTAGCAATAACCTTGTCTGCTCACATACCGATCATTAAGACCACAATTTCAGTAGACCCCCAGTTTTAATGAATGAATTTATGCTTAAAGCTCCCTATTTACCCACTGATTACAAAATCTGATCTATGACTGATTTTCATGTCAGTGTTCTAACAACCTTAGCCCACCCATCACTTGTATTACTCTACTGAATTTTGAACAAACTCCCTAAAGTACAAAAATCAGAAAAATATGGTGACAAAACTGAATTACCTCCAGTTTAGCTTCACAATATTAAGAAGAACAATTCTAGAATTATCAGCAGTTGTATGGTTATATTGATTGCTCTCTTAATGAGTAATTAAAAGTCAAAATGAATTATACAGGAAACTGAAGGAGATAAAATTGAAACATTAAAAGACTAATGAAAATAAAGTTTATATGTTCACACTACACTTTCAAGAGCCATTATAAGCATCTGTAGTATTATCCCTTATTAAATTCCTCTGAGGCTTTCTAAAAGCTATATTCCTTTACCCTGAAAGCCACTCTCAGAAAGAGATTTTGGAGAATTACTTCTTATTATGACAAAAATTGACTTTCGTGAAAAACAGTCAGACAGAAACCTTCTTCCCTAAAGATAAAGCATTGTCTATAGATGTAAAGGAGTTGCCTGAAACATGCGGAACAAGAACTCTCACATGAAAAACAGCATTTCATCTATAGTTCAACCATTTCCAGAAAAGCTAGAGATATGTTTATTCTGCACAGCTGGCACAGAACTTAAGTACTTGTTAGCAGTCAACTCTGCTCTCCCGAGGTGCTTCAAGATTCAGCAGCTGGTATATAATTTTTACAGTTTCCCTTATTGCTATAATATGAACCCACAGAAGTATGGAAAAAATGTGTAAGAACTGAAGATTACTTCACATTCCAGCTGCTTCCTACAGGGAAAAACTTGATTTTTATATATGTTCCAGGAACAGAAGAACAGGTTGGATTGCCCTTTTCCCCCTTGTTATCAAACAGAACTTTGAAGATACTTTTCCAAAAGCGTATAGTGTGTATTCTGGAGACAGTATCAGAAAGTCATACCTACACATAATATATACAAGAACCTATTGTCTATGTGCTTTATGGTGCAAATGTAAAAATTTACTCCATTACATCCAGTCATGTGAAGAAAACACCTGGGGTTTTCTGGATCTGGTAAAAAGCAGTAACACTCCTTTCTTCTTTGGAAAGCTATTAAGCCACATTTATAGTGTTAGACGAAACAATTCAGCACACTTCTAAAGAGCTGGTATTACACCTCTAAGTTCCTAGCTCTAGAGGTTGCAAAGGCATCTTTTTGAACAAAGATTAAGCAGAAACTATTAGATGCAAAAGAGTTATAGATCCCTCTGCCAAGGGTCACAGTTTTCCCAAGCCATGGTGAAAACTAGCTAGCTCCTTTGCAGTTTTCATCTTGAACTTTAACAGTGACAGAAATATAGAGAAGAACCAGCTCACTTCACAATGAGGAACTGTAAGACCAACCATAAGCTGAGTAATGGACCATTCGGTAGGAAGACACCTTTTCCTTGACTAGTATTTTTAAATTAAAGGAGGCTCTCATGCCCATCACAGCAGTTAGATACCTCCACAGACCCAGTGGATATGGAGAAGCAAAGAAATCCCATCTAAGCAGAAGGACTAAAAACAGTGGTTCAGGTCTACACTTAACCACTAGGTGCAAGTGAATAATCATCAAGATTCCTAAGAACAGACAACACTCCCTTGGAATCTGGGCATCCTCCCATTTCCCTTGTGACAAGAGACAGCTGAGTAAAGAAGACAGTGCCCATAAATTCAGTGTAAATTGTATGATTCAGGTCCCTGTTGTAAGAACTTTCATAAACACAGGCTCCTACTTTCAACAATTCTGGAGTTGAGGAAAAACAGATAACTCACATTTACCAATTCAAGTTATCAGAAAGAATACCAACAGTATCAGTTTCAGTGCTTCCAAAAACTATACCTATAGCTTCTTGTAGAATTATCAACCTAGTGATTCACCCAACCTTATTCTCTCAATATGTAAGGGAACCACCCTCTTCCCTTTTTACAAGTAATCATTTGTTTAAAAAATGTTTGGGGAAAAAACCAAACAAAAAAAACAAACAAAAAAACAAACCAGCAAGTGAATTTTTGTGATTCACTTTGCCTGACTCACTGAGATTCTTTGGTCCTCAACGTAAGCAGAGCCAAATCTCATCATCTCCATCTCCTTATTTCTCAGAAAGGTAACTGAAAAATGTTGGGTATGCACACAAAACACACACTACCAAAAAAAACAGCTCTCAGTCATCCTCTAGACGCTTCCATCACACACTTTTGCTTCCCTGCTTTGGGGGCTTTTTGTTTTTTTCCTTTTTTTTTTGTAGCAGATCAAGCTTTTAAGAGGTTTTCTCAAATCTGAGCTTGAGTCCTCCAAGACAACCGAACAGGCTGCAACTGTCTCCAGTGCCAGCTGCAATCACGGAGCAAGGAATTCAAAA